TGCTTCTTCCGGGCTGCCTGGGAGCAGCTTTGGGGGTGGAAGATGCCTGGACGTGTAATGTTAATTCTTGCCTGTGACTCTTTGAATAAACCAGCACGGTTATATTTTTTTATATATCCAAGTGGTCTGAGTCGTCCCTCTGAGTTCCTGGTTTGAAAGAACCGGACGTGGCTTTATAATAGAATAAAGCCTTTAGTCATATGGCTACCTAGTGTTTGTTATGGAGGGGACATGGGAGGCTGTGATAGTTTGATCAGTGTTGCCAAAGTAGTAATTTTCTCATTAGATTTGATTACATTTAAGGCCCTTTTAGCAACTTCATTTTTAAGTAACTAGTGGCAAATTTAGCAACAGCAGCACATTCACCCCACCAGCCAATAGTAAGAAAGAAGAGTGAATGTGCCTATCACTGATCCATGCTGTTTGTGCAGGTAAACTGCTTATTTGTTTTTGTTAAATTCAGTTAATAATAAATTTTACTTTTACTTGTTCTCAAAATACACACAGCATATTAGCATGAGTTTGATCCAATTGTTCATATGCTCTCACTATGATACTTCAGTCTCTAGCTAGTTTGTTGGATGGGACCAGAGAATGTTCTTCTGAGGCTTTTTACTGAGCAAGACGATGAGACTCAGAGAGAGGAAAGAAATACCACAGGGGCTCAAAGAAAGAGGGTTTTAAACACGTTGATTATAACCGATGGTTATGCTATGGTTCTTAAACTGTAGATCTATTTTTAAATAGGGTTATAAAACTACTCTATCTGATTTTCTGGTTAAACGTTAAGTAATCACACTCTGCAACAAAACAGCTTGCTAAGTGACAAAAAAGTGAGCAGAGCTGTGCCCAGGTTTTGTCGCACCAGAGAGATTTGAGTTTCAGCTGCATTTCCTTACATTTTAAAGCTTTTAAAGCTAATGAAGAGTCAACAGCATGTTTCTCTCTCTTTACAAGTGCATTTTCATCAGAAGTTATCTGAGGTACAAATGACACACAATGGATGATATTCAGTGTAATCGTCCAACATTTTGTATGATAAAAACTCATGAAAGGCAGAATGTACCAAAATGACATATAACTGAGTTTACTAAAAGTTGACCTCGAGAACTCATTCTGCTTTAGACAAAAATGTTGTAAAGTCTGCTCTGTGGTCCTCAGGGAGAGGGTGGCTTATTAGACAACATTTTCCAGTGTTTTATTTAGATAGAAAATAAAAAGATTTGGATAATAGCTTTACAAGGTCCATCGACTGCAGTTGCCTTGTGTAATAATGGATCATTGTAAAGTTAATGATTATATCGCTTAAATGGATTTTTCTGTCTGACAATTGCAATGATTCTTTATGATGATTGCCAGTTATGTAGTCTTAGTAATTTATCCTTACTTTTTACTTGAACATCACATCAATCTCTTGTAGATATTTACCTCAACCTGCATCTCAAGTAAAAGTATAAAAGTTAAAAGTCAGCAGCATATGTTGCTTCAAGATCTCTATGTATTGTTCAGCAGTAATGGAGCCATCACAGAAGTGTAAGTGACCTTTGCCAAGGGCACTGACACAACCCCAGATCATGACAGACCCTGGCTTTTGGACTTGTTGCTGGTAACAGTCTGGATGGTCCTTGCTCCTTCGGAGGACATGGCGTCCATACCTTCCATAAAAAACCCAAAACACTGATTCGTCTGACCACATTACACGTTTCCACTGTGTGATGCTTCATCCCAGATGCCTCCAAGCTCAGAGCAGTCGACTGCATTTCTGGATTCCCTATTGGCATAGGGCTTCTTTGTGGCACAGTTCAGTTTTAAGCAGCATTTCTGGATGTAACTACGTATTGTAGTGCCTGACACAGGTGAGCCAAAGTCATCCTGGGCCCATGTGGTTATATTACTTATAGAAGAGTGACGATTCTTGATGCGGCGCCATCTGAGGGATCAGGGTCAAGACCATCCAGCTTAGGCTTGTGCCCTTTATGCAGCGAAATTCCTCCAGATTCCTTAAATCTTTTAATGATGTTCTGCATTGTAGAGGGTGACGTATCCAAGTCTCTTCCTATCTTTCTTTGAGGAACATTGTTTTTAAACATTTCAATAATTTGCTCACACATATCTTGGTAAACTGGCGGTCCTCGGCCCATCTTTGCTCCTAAAGGGCTCAGCCTTTCCTGGATGCCACTTCTGTACCAAATCATGATTCAATCACCTGTTGACATCTCCTGTTTCAATTGGAGTCATCATTTCAGTGTTTAACCTCATTACTGGCCCTGAAATGCAGCCATCCCAATTTTTTTGGAATGTGTTGGAGAAATCAGAATTGAAGTGAGTGTTTATTTTGAACAAAAAATAAAATTAATGAAGTATCACATCAAATTATGTGCTGCTGCATTGTTTTCAATGTAATACACGATACAGTACGTGTCAGGTTTGGCGTGTACAGATGCCAAACAGAGGTTGTGGTGAACTCAATTAAATAACCAGACGAACCGAGGTAGCGACAAGTTCTTTACTAGTAGTAAACAAAACAACTAACATAAAGTCCAGGATATCACTCAGGTCGATAAGACAGTCCAGGGTCGGCGCCGGTAAACAGGTATAGTCAGGGGATCCAAACTCGAAGTCAAGGGGGACAAAATCAGAAGGTCGGTATACTGCAGGCGATCAGAATCTGGGAGGGCATAGACAAAACAGGGTGGTCAAAAAACGGTAAT